AAAATCACCTCCAATATAGTGAAATTTACCAACCATTTAGAAAATTTCCAAACAATTATGAAAATGAGGGATCAGTTTGGGGAAGAAAACAATTCAGAAAGTATGAAGATAAGACATAGTATTGACAATAACTATGAAACTATAATTTATGAATGGACTTTGAGAGACATTAAAATGATCTTGAGGATATCCATCTTAATTACTAGGACTAAATGAGGGTTATAAACTAGCGTGAGGAATTAGAATTATGATTTACAGTTGATAGTTAGGAAGTAGATTTAGAATTTTTATTACAAACTGATATCAGTTATAATGTCAGAACTATTTAGTCAAATGGATGAGAGGAATTCGTGCCAAAATCCAAGACCTGTTATCTTGAATCTGATTGGTTCGTCCATAAATTATAGGCTCACTAGTCTAATTGACTCAATATTATCTGTTTTGTTTTAGTGTTTGCTGATGGTTGATCGTCATGTAAACTATACGACCTTGTAATCTATCTCAGATAATCTGTAATTGCATCAACTAAATCTGGTCTTTACACATATAGTATGTTGTTGATTAACTTACCCAATAAATAGTAGACTATGAGCATGTGACTATGTAGAACTATAACTGATCCTAAAATTACGCAATACTAGGATTAGTTCTTTATTGGATTATACTTTTTGAATGAACAATGAATAACCCTTGGGTCATTAAGATCTCTGATTACAAACCGTTATAAGCGTGATTTGTCCTGAAAATCTTATTGACAATAACATAACAATCAGATCAGAAACTGAATTCATCTGGACAACCATTAAAGAATAGGTAGCGCTGGACAATTGTAACTTCTCACCAGTGTACATCCATACTTTGTCAGAAATGGAACCCAAAAAAAACCTCGAAGTATGTATCCTATCAAATATCAACTAACAATTTTCCTACACAGAACCCAATTAGTAAAATGACTATTCACATGTTTATGTTACCAAGAGATTGCGAGATAATCGAGTAGCTGTACATTACTAAATAGCATAACAATACAAATATGAAGTTTTAGGTTATACACACACAAATCAGCTGTTTTAATTCTTTACAACAGACCAAGGAAAAATAGCGAAAAACCTTCCTTTACTACTGATGAATTCTCCCTGAAAAATATTCACGATCCAAGTAGCCAAGAAGTATCAGCTGGCCTATACACTTTTAACAATGTTGCTCTAAGCTAAATTGAATTATAGACTCGAAATCGAAAAGCCATAGTTCATTTTGAGATGGTGGAGAAGATTTATAGCACAGGTGGATGATTTTTGTGGAGTTTTTTTTTCTCTGAGCTGGATGGGGTTTGATCGTGGAGCTTTCATCACAAACTTCTATCTGAAGTTTGTGCTGATGATGTTGTTCAGAAGTACGATGAAAGATCCACGACCAAACTATCCAGCTCAGAGAACAAAACTCCACCAAAGCCATAGTTCATTGTTTTGTTGACACATAACCAAATTCTGCTTTGGTGATTCAAATGTATACCACTTAACTAGGCATGCTAATACAGACTTTCCGCAGAACCAGGATTAATTTAACAATCACTAGAAAGTAGCTTATCTTAATTCCTAGACGAGATTAGAGATATTCAATTGGTTGTACAATTTGCTTAAACACGATTTTAATGACTTGATAAGATGATGAGCTATTCTGATGGAACATACATTGTAGATTATCTAAGAAGTTAAGGATTATGAAAAAAATCATTTGCTTTACTTCATTCAATGTGATCGTGTTATAATGATAACAAGATAGATTGTAATTTATTTTATTATTTTAACACAAAGATATTGGTACAAGGAGGCACCAAATACATATGCATCACATAAATCAATCGATTTGTGTGAGGGCTGTGATACTGCATGGATGCCCAAACCGAATCAGGTGGTTTTATTAGGGGGCCACTCTCCGAGCCTTTGACCTGAAGGTCTGATCCACAAGGCAATGGAGCATCGTAAGGAGATGCATTCCCATGGAAGCCGGTGACCAACAATTGGTTCATACGCCATTTTCCCTCAGGATACTGGAGCCCATGTGCACCATTGATTTGGTTTGGAATCCGGTTAGAGCGCCGGACATTCGCTCTTCGTTCTCTCAACTTCGTAAACAACAGTGATGTCACGAGAAGGCAGTGAGTAAGACTTCCCTGACAGAGGCTATATACACGTGGCCATGTGAAAGCATTTCGAGAGGGAGAGTGGACTCTCCCCACTCTCGGCCATACCAGGGCATTTGGGGGCAAATTGTAATTTAATTGTACACCAATTATAAATAGAAAAGCTGTTAGAAATAGGATCTTATATTAAGATAGAAATTAATGAGATTTAATTCTTCTAAACAGAATAGTAACAAATACAACAATCTTTATCAGTTAATTATAACATAGAGATTATGAAACAGATTAAAATTGATTTTTTTTAAAGCACCTATTTAAAGGCTCCAAACGATTGATCACATGTACCAGTATTTGTATGAGGTCTATCTTGTTCTTGAACTACAAGGATATATATATGTATATATATAAACCATGTGAAGCCTTAATATAATCTATAATACCTGTATTTTAATTAGACTACTCGATGACGAGGTACATCCCAAAAGATAGTTCAGAACAGTAGCCTCGAGACATTATCAGAGGATGGTTTAGAATAGAAGTCAGTGGTGGCAATTTTTTTATGTTGTAAGTCAGAGGAACTTCTTTAACAGAAAGAATCATTTCTGATCATATTTTTGTTGAATGAACTGCTTCTCCCGTTATTACTTTTTCTACTCAGATATTAATTTCTATTCATTTTGTCTTATTCACCTTCCTTTCTTTATCTCTTTACAATCTCATTTTTATTGTGTGGCGAATATACATTTTGGTGCCTCTTTGTATCAGTCAGTAACAACGTAGAACTTCGTACGTACGTACATCAGTTCGAGTTGCCACACCACCTTTGCACACAGATGCAGTTGTCAATTCGAATCCCGTAGTGGTAGAGGTAGTAAGAGTATAAGCAGTAATCAGAAAGATTAAGGCTTGAAGATGCTACTCACGGAGTATAATACAGTGAAATAAATTTGGAGAGAAAAAGAAAGGGACATGAAGAATCCAGAAGATTAGAATTTGGGAGAAGTTAGCTATACACTACTATATTGAATTCAAAAAATACAGATAGCTTGCTTAAATTAAGCAATACATTTGTCCGGAATTTTACATTTTCTTCTTACATCAGTTAGCTATGTGCAACATAAACGTGAAGTATATGTGTATCGCTTCAAATTGCCATTCTGTATTAGCAGAGCGAAAAAAATAAATATAAAGATGGAAGATATGAGGGAATATAAAGACTCATATTCTCAGGGAAGACAAAGACAGAATGTACATGCGCTATTACAAACGACTCTGAACCATGTCATCCAGTCTCTGATCATTGATTATGATAATCACATGAACCCCAACCAGGTAGTCTCCATCTATTCAAATGGCTAAGTTCAATTGTCAATAACTTCAAAGACCGGTGTTACGTCTTGATTTGATCACTCTTAGCTTTCTTCCAGTCAGTCTACTTCTACACTAGACAACATCTTCCATACATTAAGAGCTGATAAGTTTTTGGAAATCAATTTGATTTGATTTTTTTTTCCTGAACGATATTATTCTTGAGTTCTCTGATTTATTGGAAATTTGTAAAAGACTAAGATGGAATGTTGTATATCCATCGAATGCCTTAATATCAAACAAAGCAACAAAGTCAATGAACAAGACGAAAAGCAAAGATATGGAGTTCATTTCAATTGCATTAGTAAATTAAACATAAAAAAAATACAGTACAAAGAGAATTAATGAAACTTAAGGAGGAAGGTAGGTAATGAATGCGATTTTGTATCACTCAGACTTATTTCAAGTCATAAATGATACAAATGCTCAGTGTCTTCAATCATAAACAATGAATATCCTAATGGATCCAACTAACCAATCCACTTACTACTCATATGCTTCAGACTAACATTCAGAGTAAATAAATCGATGCTATTTCTCTACATGAACACCGTTAATATAACTTACTCTTATGTCATCTAGCATTGTACATTGAGTTGTTAGCCGAACCTCAGGACATGTATTACGCATGCTTAACCATTAAAGTCGTTGGACTATCATAACCTTATGAATCATATTGTTATTTTATCTAATACTCTTGACCTATGATCATATTCCAATATTTGAATTACCGTTGTATTCAACTGCCATTCCCAAGTTTAAGGTTTACACATCCAGCTTTGAGGATTTACAATACTAATTAGCTGCTCAGACCGAAATACAAACTGTTTCATCCTAGTCTGTGTGATGACTCAACAGTTCGAAACTACAAGCCTGTTATTGTTCGAACCCTAAAGGCTTCAAACATCATGAAAAGAGGCATTAAACACATTTCAACAAAAACTTACATACACAACTTGATTATATCAAACAAAACAGATAAATAAACGTTACGTACCGAATAAACATCCCGTCGTTTTTTTGTTGTTGTTGGTTACACAGTTCCAAAAAGTGAACAACAACTACTACTACTACACAGAATACATATTTATTTTATGAGTGCTCCCTTCCCCCCCCCTTCCAAAATGAAAAACAGTTTACGAACATATATAAACAATGGTACTCATTTATTTCTCTCTACATTACAAATAGATAGATATGTACACTCATCTGTCAAGAAGAAAGCGTAGATAAAAACACTAATTATTATAATCGATTAACAAATAGTTTCACAATAAAGTAAGTACTAATACTACTACTCTTATTTACTATTACAAATCTTTGCATAATCCCAAATTTGCATCTATAATTTATCAGGGTTTATTAGTGCTATTTAATCTCCATTTAAAGGATATGTACACATATTGTAGTATTTTTCTTTCTTTGCAAATCAAGTATTTCAACATAAATATACACATTTACAACCAAGCGAGCTGTGAAATTATTATCATCATCGTCCAGGAAAACCACCTCTAGAAAAATTCCGATATCGAAAGGGTAAGCCAATAACACCGCCACCACTACCACCGCCGAGAGGTGGTGGAGCGGGAGGAGCGACAATAGCACCGCCAACAACACGAGGTGGAAATATTGGTCGATTAAATGTTTTCATTTGTCCTGAATTAAGCATAAAAGCATTAGGATTACAAGATATCGGTGGCATAGTTGTTTGATTACTGTTGTTATTAGACCATTGCATATGCATAACACCACGACCACCACCACCACTGATGACACCAGTAGAAGGATTAGCACTACCGAGAATACCATCATTATTCATTGGTATTCTACAATTATTCAATGGTAATCCAGACCCCATTGGACGAAATCCAGACGATTCCAATTGTACTTGATGATGAGGATGTCGTTGTTGTTGTTGTTGTTGTGGTAATGGTAAACGTTGTTGTATTTGTTGACGTAGTCCAGATTGTTGACATGTGAACAATGGACCAGGTGGACGAGGAGATATAAATGTTTTTTGAGTTAATTGCATTTCATAAGAATTCAATGAAGACGTATTGTTATTATTATTTGAATTGGATGGAATATGAGGAATTTGATTGGATTGAACAAAATGACCTTTTTTGTTAAATGAAAATGAATAAACATCAAATCAAACTGTTCATACAATGAAGTGATTGAATCAAAACAATCAAAATTTCATTTATGATAATTACTGATAATTTTGTGTATAGTAAGAAACAAGGAAAGAAAGATAGGAAGTAACTTTAATCTCACGGTTTAAGGGAAGACAAAGAGTGTATACATTTACACCATTGTGATCGATCGATTTTGAGCCATTTCATCCACAGTCTCCAACCATTGGTTACGATAGTCACACGGATTCCAACCAAGTAGTCTGCATCTACCAACACGACTCAGGCTAGAAGTTAGTGACCTCAAGCATTGATGCCACGTTTTCGTTTGACCGCCCCTAACTTTCTTCTAACCATCCCCTACATTAGTCAGCATCGTATGTCGTGGTAATCGGTGTTCAGGTATACGTAACACGTAGTCCAACCATCTCAATCGATGAAGATTCACAACCTCATCAACTGATTTACCATCATCCTCTAATACTCTGAGTCTAACCTCACTATCACTTACCCGGTGATCTCCCTATCCTTAGTTCAGGTGTTGACGCAGACCAGTCATAGAGCAACAACTTGCATTTAGAGGGAGAAAAGCGCATTACAAACATCCTGGCATTGTTGATCAGTGCTACCAGAAGACTCTGCATTTTGTCAGCGTCTTCACCAAACAGGACTATGTCATCTGCGTATTCTAAGTCGATAAGTGGACCTCCTGGTAGGAGGTCAATACCAGAGAATTCAGACGACGAGAATGTTATTTCCATCAGTAGGACTATGGTGAAGTTAAACAAAAATGGAGAAAGTGGATAGCCTTGACGGACACTACTTGAGGTTGCAAAACCAGATGACAGTTCGCCATCAGCTCTTACTCGACTAGTAGTGTTCGAGTAAAGAGCCTTCATAAGGTTTATGTACTTCTGAGGTACGCCTTTCAATGGCAGACACTGCCACAGAATCTCGTGGTCTACCGAGTCAAATGCTGTTTTTAAGTCAAGAAAGACCATCATTGTCGGACGCCGCTAAGTATGCTTATGTTCTAGAACCTGACGAATGGTGAATATGTGGTCGATGCAGCCACGACCAGTTCACAAGTCTTAGTTAGGCGTCTGATAATTATTGAAATCAGTATTTTGGATGCTATATTGGTCAAACTAGTCCGTCTGTGGTTATCACAGGATGATTTTGACCCCTTCTTATGTATTGAGACAATCAGTGATTGCAACCAGTCAGATGGGATAACGTCCAACTCCCAGATTTTAGCTAAGATAGCATGTAAACAAAGACTATAGCACAGTTTCTTCATTTAATCAAACGTGAGTTAATATAAAAGTTTGAATTGTCGTACATTGTGACAGTTGAACAATAATTAGCTACAAAATATTTTCTATTTCCAATTAGAACTCTATAACTGTAAGTAATACAAGATCGTGTAAATATTGTTACAGATCGTTGTATTATTTAGTTTAATAGCTGAATCAAGTAACAGTTGTATTACACCTAGTCTAACCAATCGATATGCAATTACGAGATTATGGGATAGATTAATCATATCCCTTACAAAATATTTCCCATTTATTGCAATACACTTGTCCCATTCAAATGTCTCTTGTTGAACACATTTTTGGAATTTCACAAAAGTTAGGGTCGTTATCATTTCTGGTTTTATCGTCTTTATATCATCCAGTTCATTAACAATTCACTGGATAGTCGATCAGCGTTCGGAAAGTACAATGGGTAGTGTAGACTTTCGATTTTGTTCTATAACAAGGACAGTTAGTGTTCGTTCCGATCTAGGGTTATCCTTGATGTCTTTACAATCCTAACTGTACAATAAACTTGATCCAAAGAGTTGATTGATTTCAATGTATATTATCTCCATAAACAATTCTCATTATTTCATGCATTTTTAAAATTTTTTCTTGAAGCTAGCAGCATCTCATTCAGTATACTTATCATACAGAGATCATGTACATAATTCGAGTGCGTAGAATGATGACCTAATCCAGACATATTAGCCGAAACATCCGTTCTTTTGGGTCGATCATACCAAGTATACTAGTTTAAGAGCGTTAGGGTTTAAAGCAGTAAACTCATCATCCAGGGGTTTAATTTCACTGCTGAATATACAGTGGCGTGATGCTGATAAGGTGTTCCCCTCAGACAACTAGCACAACGAAAGTAAGGGGCTAAAAAAGATCGGCCCTCAAAGTAGCTCACTACTTTGCACCGAAGATTTACAGTCCCAGAGCGAAAGTCAGAAAAGTATGAAGGTAACACATTGACAAATTCTCACAAAAAGGGCGTGTGTGATCAATCTCAAACAGTTATTCTTTGGGCTCTACAGTCGCGCTTTCAAGTCGTCGAGACCATCTCCTTTCTAATCTATTTATTTATTTATTATTTATTTGAACACATGAATATTGGTACAAGAGAGCGCCAATATATATGCGCCACACAAAACAATGAGAATTCGAAGAGAAATAGAAAGAAAAAAACTAAGGAGCGCAAAAGAAAAAGAGAACAATAACGAAGAGATTGGTGTAAGGTAGTGTGGTAGTAACGAGGGAACGGAAAGGTACAATCAGAAGAAATCTTTCAGGTAAGGAGACACAACCACTTTTTATGAAGAAAGTAAAAGAAGGTTACAGCAGGATCGCCACTGGCTTCTATTCTGAGCCATATCTGATAACGTCTCTAGCCACTGTGTAGCACCATCTCTCAGACCCCAACCAGGGAGTCGTGAAGGACCAACACAAGCCAGTCCTTTGCAGCTTTCTTTCATGCCACGACACCATGTCATGCACTGACCACCTCTCCGCTTCTTCCAACCAGTCCCAGAGTCGGCAAATAATGCACGACGTGGAATTCTCTGGGACGACATTCGGAGAACATGTCCAAGCCACCGAAGTCGGTGTTTCAAGATGGTGACACCAATTGAATTATCATCTCTGTGCCCGAACACACGATGCCGAACCTCTGCATTACTGACATGGTGTTGCCACTGAATGTCAGCAATCCTTCGGAGACAGCGATGATCGAACACAGAGAGTCGTCTAACGTCCTCAACTCGGAGAGGCCAGGTTTCACAAGCATAGAGCAAAACTGCTCTCACCGACGCGTTGTAGATCCGACCTTTTACAGCCAGACTAACATCACGAAGGCGCCAAAGGTGGCCCAGATTGGCATAAGCCGCTCTGGCTTTCACTATTCGTGCATTGATCTCATCACTCACACCCCCACCAGCACTTATGCAGCTACCCAGATACACGAACTTCTCAACTACGTCTATCTGCTCACCATCCAGGGTGAGTACAGGATTAGAATCCTGCCAGTCTTGTAGAAGTACTTTGCACTTCGAAGGTGCAAAGCACATACCATACCTACGGACACTGATTGCCAACTGATTAAGTGCGGATTGCATGCCTTGGGCATTATCGCACAGTAAGACAATATCGTCCGCATACTCAAGGTCGAGAAGTCTTTCTCCAGGCAACAGATCCACACCACCATTACTTACATTCATCAGAGCTGTTTCCAGAATGTCATCGATGGCAAAGTTGAAGAGGAATGGTGAGATTGGGCAACCCTGCCTAACCCCACTGCTCGAATGGAACAATGGAGAGAGGTGGTTGTATGCCCTCACTCTGCCTGAGGTGTTTTTATATAGGGCTTTTAGGATGTTAATAAACTTCTCAGGCACACCCTTCTTCAATAGACAATCCCAGAGAACAGTCCTGTCCAACGAATCGAAGGCAGCCCTGATGTCAAGAAACACTACGATTGTTGGCCTTTGAAAGTATGGCGGTGTTCTAACATTTGGCGGAGGGTGAAGATATGATCAATACATCCTCGACCAGAACGAAACCCAGCCTGCTCCTCGCGAGTCAATCTTTCTCGGGTTTTGAACAACCTACGAAGTATGACGGAAGCCAATAGCTTGGACGCAATCGGAAGTAGACTTATCCCCCGATAGTTGTTACAGGAACGACGTGAACCCTTTTTAAAGATAGGGACAACTATCGACTCATTCCATGACGTTGGTACACTCTCTAGTTCCCAAACCTTTGTAAACAACGTCGTCAATTCCTTAGTCAAAAAGTCACCACCATCTTTAAAAAGAGCCGGAGGTAAGTCATCTGGGCCAGGTGATTTGTAACGCTTCAAGAGTTGGAGTTCCTTGCGGACTTCCTCCTCATTTGGTGGATCAGTCGTCACCGGCCATGGAGGGCAGGACAGTCTGACCGATGTTGCCGGAGCAGCAGGCCAGTTGAACTGCCCTTCGAAAAATTCTGCCCATCGTCCAAGACGTCGATGGATGTTAGTGATTGGCATCCCATCATCCTCGCAGATTGTTTCACTCACACCAGACTTCTTGCTGCCAGTGGCTCGGATGAGCTGGAAGAGCTTCCGGTAGTTACCAGATGCAGCTGCTGCTTCCAGCTCATTAGCACGCATCGACCACCAGGCTTCTCGGTCCTTACGCAAGCTTTGCCCAATTTCCTTACGTAACATCCTTCGTTTATGGTCAAACTCACGGTCACCCGGAGTAGACCGACGGGCTTCAATGAGTTGTAAGGAACCAGAAGAAACCCAGTGCTTAAAAGCGGGACGTTTCGCAAACCCACAACTGACTGTTCCCGCCATTTTCATGGCGTCATGCAATTGCAACCAATGCTCATCTATACTTTTCGGTGGAGTGGTAGCTAGCCTAGAGGCTAGCTCGGTTCGATACTTACTTGCAACAGAAGTTGCAACCAGCTTGCTAACATCAATCCGTTGATGGCGGTCACTTCGTTGTCCACTGAAAAGTAAGGCAAGATTGGCGCAGACCAAGGCATGGTCAGAGTCCAGATAGGTACTCCAAAAGGAGCGGCAGTCGTACACAACCACGCCAGCGGTAGCTGATCGCGATGTGATCAATCTGAGTCCAGGCTTGAGATGCAGAGGGAGGACGCCAGGTGGCACATCGGCGATGACTGTGCCGAAAGTTAGTGCTAGCCAGAAACAGGTTGTGGTCTGTGCAAAGTTGCAGTGGAGCATCGTAAGGTGATGCAATCCCATGGTAGCCGGTGACCAACGATTGGTTCATACGCCATTCGTTGCCACAAGATACTGGAGCCCATGTGCACCATTGGTTTGGAATCCGGTTAAAGCGCCGGACATTCGCTTTTCGTCCTCTAGTTTTATTCTCAGATCCCTCAAGTGTTCTTTCATGGTGTGAGCAACCGGTAAGTGGAAAATACTTTCATACCTCCAACAACATTCGAGATCGCTTTGTTTTTAAACTTCATACAAGACAATTTATAAGAGTTTAACAAAAAGGTATCGACATTGTGCAACATAGAACATTCATATATATTGGTTTACTTGTTTGTTTTTATACAACATATTGTGGAAGGTAACCTCAGTCAATAATTAAACCGATATAATTATGGAAAATATATCGTATGAGAAAGGGTGGGCAAAACAGGTTAGTCATTTAGTTAGTTAACACTACTGAAGATGTAATAAACGCAGTTTAAAAACGGATGTAGTGTATCTTTTTTTGATAGCAGACGAACAAAAACACTATACACTTAAGGACATACCAGCAGGAATATTTGAACTTGATGGTTCGGAAAAACGTACATCTGACCAAGAAGATGAATGAGGTGGGAGCATTGTATTGGGACGAGGTAACGTCGACTGATTATTGTTGTTAAGACCTGGTGGAAATGACATGTTGCTGGGAAATCGATTTTGTTGATTTACTGCATTCATATAAGGTTGTTGTTGTTGTTGTTGAGGTCTAGTTTGATCAGCTGATGGGTAAGTGGGGGAGATAACAGAAAAATCAATGATAAAATACTTTAAAGAAGCACATGGAACAACAGTTCACTTATATGATTGGCTAAAATTACTTAAGGGTTATTCATATCTATTCTTTTTATAAGTAACAAAGCTTCTATACTCATGATTTTAATACGACAGTAAGTCATTTGCGAAAATAAAGATTTGTATACTCGGCTTTTAGCTACACTGTTTATGTAAGGTGAGGACTAGTGATAACACTAATTGACTATGGAGCGGTTGCTTCGAGGTTTAGAAATTCAACTTCGAGTCAACAAGTTGTGAGTTCTAATCTCTACCAACATACATATGTACAACAGCAGAGTGCACTGAAATATGGCCTTTAAAAATGGAGAATATTCGTAGGTTAGTATTATTTGATCATATATGCTTTCTAAGCACTGTTCGTGTATGCTTGAACCATCGAGTGAGCAATGTTGAGGTTTAGATGCAGAGTACCAGATGAAGATAGAAAATCAATTGATCAGGCAGTAAATCTACACTGACTGAGGTGGGTTGAATATGCACTATGTATGTCCAGCATTGACAAACAATAGTTGTAAATGTAGAAATATGTTGGAAGAAAGCGAACTCCATCCAAATAAAAACATGATATCAGTTCATGAAGTCATTAACTGCTGGTCTAAAACATGTTTGTAGTCGCAGATTATCTGATTGTAGTCCGTGTGATAACCGCAATCAGTAGTCAGAGACTTGAAGTCACAATGAAGCAGAAATATTCACTCTTTATCTTCCCTTCCATTTAATCTTAACAAAGCATATTTCCAATGTTTAGTCTTTCTTATTATCATTACTATTGCATTATTCTAATTTCTTTGCAATCCATCTCGTTATGTTAATTAGATATGGCAATTTCGGTAAATGCACACCTATATCAGGCTTTATATCGATAATGTCTGTTTGTTATTGTGAAAAATTGTCTGATGCTTGTAAAAAGAGTTTAAATATCAAAGTACTGTTTGTTTTCTAATTGTTCAAAATAACTGTGAATCTTGTCCTTCAATGCGAACACCGGCATACAAGATCATCGGAAAACAATACCTTGCAAACTATCTACAAACAGCAGATTCTTCTAGTATTCACTATACTATAATTCAGTTCTCACATTTTCACATTCTTAGCAATAGATCACTCCATATGATGTTGTATTATTTGCATTGAGCTCGAATAGAAACCCTTTCGTTTTTTTTCTTGTTTTCAGGTATTGATGTTTTTAGTATGTTATTATTTGTCACCCTATATATCCAAGAATATTGTATATAATATTAATACACAATTATTGTACACACCTGATAAATCAATTGCTTCTTTTGTGAGTAGAGCTACTACACTTTTACTTTTGGACTATCTACAGAGGTATGTAGATATTTACGTAAATTTGTTATGTCATACCAACATCATAGACTGATCTTATTTAGATAGCCATTCAAAAATATGAAGCATTTGATAGCTGTTCTGTCCTAGTATAGGACTGTTGGAGGTTTAATCATATCCAATATGAGGCAACTAGTTCCTAACCGATGATATTGAAATACGATTGATCACTCTTAAAAGTTGATTGAAATTATAAATGTCAACTAACAGATATCAACTTAGAGGTCTAAAGTTTAAGTGCTCTCTCCACAAGACCTGAAGGTTATGCGTTTGATCACTGATGTGGATGAGGATAGCTAAGAACTTCCCAAATAGGACGAAACAGCTGTCCAGTCTTTCCAATTTTTTTCAGATTTATCTAATTCAGATTAAAAATGAGAAATCCAACAATCTCCACGATCCCTTTACGGTAATAATGACAATAATAATGTGTACTTACGTGGAAGAAAAGTATGTGGCAATAATGGTGGTCTGTTGTATGGTCTAAGCCCGGCAAAACTTGAAGTTGACAATTCTGGCTTCGGATTTTGTTGTAATAATTGCTGATTTACAACACGTTGATGATTCGCATTAATTCCAGGATTCCACTGACATTCGGATGAAGTGGTTGTTGAATGAGGTTGGGATGATATAGTGGCAGAGGGAGGGGGAGGGGTGGTTGACGGTTGTGTAGGTGGTGGTGGTGGAGGAGGAGGGGGTGGAGGCGGTGGCGGTGGAGGAGGGGGGGGAGGAGGTGGAGGTGGTGGGGGAGGTGCTCTAGAAGTAGCTGTTGTATTGTTCTGCTGAAAATATAATGGTTGTGTTGGGACTGACATACGTGGAACTGATGCTTTGAAAACAAGAGTAATAATGAAAAATAACAAGTAATTTAGTGAAATTTAAATCCAGTTTATCAAATGGCTATGAAATGAAGTGGTAAAGTAAGAACGTGGATGGTATGTAAATGCAACAAAATAGTAACCGTTTGACTGATTTATTAGTATGAGTAATTGTTGCATCTTGACTGCCTCTTCTTCAACACTAAAGATAGTATAATGTGAGATTTGAGTTTTTTATTATTACTTAAATCCATTCGGTGGTTGGGCATACGTAACACGTGTCCCAGACGTCTCAACTGATGAAGTTTCACTACGTCATCAATTGATTTGCTATCCTTACCTAGCACCCGTTTCCTAACAATTGCATTACTTACTCGGTGGTCCCAGGATATACGAGCAATGTTTCGAAGACACCTACGATCAAATACTAGTAACCTACGAATATCCTCTACTCTCACTGGCCATGTTTCACTACCATAAAGTAGGACGGAACGAACTGCTGCGCAGTAAACCCGTCCTTTGGTTGGTAGACGTATATCTCACATACCGCATAAATGAAGCAGCTGATGTGACTCCCAAGATAAGTGAAGCGGTCGACATGCACAACTACTTCACTCCCTATCATTAGTTCGAGTGTCAATGCCACCCAATCCTGAAGTGACTATTGCATTTCGAAGGGGAGAATCGCATCCCGAACATGCTTGTATTATTGCTTAGTGGTCAGAAGACTCGGCTTCAAGCTACAATCCAATTGTGAGCGCTGATGATATTACTCGGTTGCTTAAATTAAAGGTGTAGTTGGGTTTGAACCTACAAACTAGTGACTAAAAGTTCATGAGATACAAAACTTAGTTAGCATTCAGATGATGATTAAAATATAAACAAGACTACCTGGTTTGTTTATTGAATTAATTTGAATAACAAGTGACAGTGATTATTAATTTGGAACGATGTATAGAGCTTTAGATAAATGATTTTCCTTAACTGATACTAATTTAGTGGAACAGTAGTTTATTGATTAGTAAGGTATTCGAGTTTTAGCCAATAAGTTGTAGTTTCGAACCTTACTTTATCTACTTTAGTTTGAATAATCAGATATTATCAATAATTAGTCTTTAGACTTAGATGATGTGGCACGTAGCCAACTAAACGTATTTATTTTACCTGATAATGAGTTAATAAGTACATTCATAAATAAGTGGAAACCATATGTGATACCTATCCATATACTAATCAACTTCATACAGATCAAATGAAGAATATGAATTAAAAACCAATTCTACTAGTTAGTTATATGAAACGTAGAACCTGTTATATATGTCAATGGATTCCAGTTGCTACAACATATCAACACAGTCATATGAAATTATCAACATAAATATCAGAGTAGTAAAAGTAATAATAGTATCAGTAGATACTTTGACCGCGAGATGATAGCAACCGATGGTTAGAGACCTTGAATGACATGGCGCAAGTGCATACACTCTTTGTGTTCTCTTAAATCCTAATCTTCTGATTTCTCCTTGTCTCTTTTTTTTCTCTTCCAAATTTATTTCATTGAATTATACTCTTTAAATAACATCTCCAAACCCTAATGTTTCCGATTACTGCTTATACTCTTACTACCTCTACCACTACGGGATTTGAATCGACAACTGCATCTCTGTGCTAATTTGGTATGGCAATTCGAACTGATGTACGTACGTACGAAGCTCTACGTTGTTACTGATTGAATGACTAAGTATCAGTAGTTGTAGAAAATATGATATGAGAAGAAAAAAGTGAATCCATATAATACAAAGTAAAAGATGATTTTTAAACTCATAATCTCAAAGAAGCTAAAGAATGAATATATCTAGAACATTGTCACCGATTCTGGATTATTTCACTTAAAGTTTCTAACCATTTGGTCAATATAATTCACAAGGACCGTAGACAGGTAGCCTGAGACCTACCATCATGGCTCAGTTCAACAGTTAAAAATTTAATCATAGACACAAGTGAAACGTATCCTAATCACTTAAGTCACTGCAGATTTACTAATTGATCAATCAATTTGCTATCTTTATCTAGTCCTCAGTTTGTGATCTCAAAATACACAAACGATCCTTTAAAGTCATCTATAGTCAAATATTAATAATCTATGAGCATCCTCTATTTTTTAAGAGGCCACATTTCATAGCCATAAAGCAACACTTTCAAGACCTCATGGTCAAAAACCATTCGGCCTACTCACATCTCCTAACATAGACTATCCTTCACAAAATAAAGTAGGATAGGACGAGTTACTGTCCACTATACTTGTCCTTAATTGGTAGATGGACACTCCACATACACCACAAGTGACACAATTTACCAAAAGTCAACCGAACTTTCCGAATTCGTAACGTGATTTCATCAGACACAAACACATCACAACTGACTAGACCACTTAGATAAATGAAGTGGTCAATGCACTAAATTACTTTACATCCTAGCGTTAGTTTAGGTGTTGGTCTGGACCAGTCCTGACACAACATTTCGCATTTAAGAGACAAAGCCCACTTTAAATGCGCTTGCGCTATAGCTCAGAATGATTATAAGACTTCGCACTTTATCAGTGTCTCCACTAAGTGAACCTTTTTCCCTTGTATTATTTTTATGATGTTAGTGTGTATTGAAAACTAACAATTAAATAATCAAAACATTCTAGAAAATATTCAACAAAAATACGAAAAACATACCCGCTACTAAAGGTAGGATTAATGGGACTGATCGAGGAACCATCGGCTGCATTGGCGGTATAGGGCGAGTTAATATCATTGGGACAGACGGTGGTACAACAACAGGAGAATAAACTGATACTGATAAATTTGTCGAGGTGTTTGTTGTAGATTTTTGAGTGGTTGGTGTTGTTTGTATCCTCTTAACAGACTTTACATTAGGACTACTAATCGATTGTGTTTTACTATCATTATTATTATTACTGTTCATCATGATCAAACCTCTAAGTCGAGGATCAGTGAGAGATTCTTCATCAACTTCACCACAACCAGCTAAAAGATCATCGAATTGGGGACGTGTTAATTTTACAACTTCTTCTATCGGTAAATAAGTACAACCTTCATCAGTATCCCAATAATTGGTGACGTAATCTTCTCTTGATTTAATACCGAGATTTGGAGCCCAGGCTACTTTAATTTCTCGACCACTCAATGTAGATTGATCCATGTGAGTCACTGCACGATGTGCAGCTCTTCGAGTAGCAAATGTAACAAATGCACACCCACGTGGTGGAATAAAATTACATTCAATTACTTGACCTTCAGTTACTTCTGAACAAAGTGCTGTTAGCTTGCTTTCAGCTAATTGTTTATGTAAATGACCAATAAACACTGTATGCGATAAAATCCAACATGATCTGGTTTCAATGTAGGCAAGCCAAGATGTTTTCTACGACGTTCACGATGTTTTGGGTCGGATTCAGTTGGTGATACTGATTCATTTTGAAACAGACTATCGTCAAAACGTCGACGAACAGGACTCAGAATAGGTGAGTCTGAAGCATAATCATCAACGAATTGATCTGAGTGTTCAGGTTCATTGTCGGATACATCAAGTTTATGTGATTCAAGAAAAACATGTCGATGATGATGAGAATGAGGGGGATCAACACGATCATCGTACGAATCGAGACTATTAAAAAGGAAACAATAAACGGGAGTTGCAGGTTGAGAAGATTCACAAGAATAAATTCATGTCAAAAGATAACTCACTAAGAAGGATTTTCGACTAACCAATCAACATATTAACAGGATATAATTTATCATCAATGTGAGACCATCTAGAACAGTTATATCAATTCAAGTTACCGCAATATCTTAAACCAGCAATAGTGAGAGAGGAAATAAATTAGATGATGAACAAGAAAGGGGGAATAGTTTAAACTATAATTGGAAATATCAACGTGAGAAAGAGAACAAATGAGACTACAGAATAATAAGGTATAAAATGACATTTAACACAAAATTTGGATAAAGATAAAGAATGAGAGAGTCTGTGCAACTGGAACCCATATTGAATCATGTCAAATAGTCTTTGATTATGCATATGACCAGACCACTAACAGGAAGTCCATATCTAGAGTGGCGATTGAGTAAGCGAAAATCAAATATTAGAAGCAGAGATTATTGTAGCTAGCAGACACCTTAACCATTTATTTCCAGGTTCGAACCGCACTCCATCTACTCCGATTTGGGCACCTGGGTAGTAACATTGGCTTTCACAACTAGATTGCGGCTTATACACAAGTACCTGGTGAATGAGTAAAAGTTATCTTTTGTATATCTATCAAAACGATACAGTTCAACACTTATGATATTATAAGCTGGTATCACAGCTTACTTCAGTTACTCCTAACTTTCTTCTAAACCATTCCTATACTACCAAGCATTTTGCATTAAGGTAACAATGGTTGAACATACGTCACAGATGTTTCAGATACAGTAGCCGACGACGATTCATAATTTTATCAAACAATTTATCATCTCCGAGTACCCTACATCCAACCTCAGCACTGGTAACTCCGTTTTCCTGTCATATGCAAATGTTTTTAGGACGAACAAACCAGACTGTTACGCAATATACTCGTGTCTTTCATAGCCATACCGTCATTTCAGGTACATCATAGATGATAAAAATTTCTGAGTCCATCCTAAAATTTCGTTAGCTACTACAACCCCACGAGATCTGATGAGATTTCTAAAAAAAGTGAAGTGGTTAGTATACTTGATCACCTCGCTCTCTATTATAAGTCAGAGTATGCGTTGATTTAAATCACTGTTGAAGTAATAACTCGCATACAGAGGCGGAGAAATTCACCTTCAACAATTCTGCTTCCAATAAACATTTCGTTTGAAGATAGAGCACATAAAAGAGTAATGCATTAGGAAACTTAACAACAACAAAAAACAAAACAAATAGGATTAGTTTTCATTCAACGATGATGTTATACTCAAAAATAAGATACTACTATTACCCTGAAAAAATAAGTAAACAATACACAACCTACTATTAATTACAAACGTTAGGGGCGGCCAAAACAAAACGTGGCATCAGTGACTGAAGTCACTAACTTCTAGTCTGAGCCATGTTGGTAGATGCAGTCTACTTGGTTTGGGTCCGCGTGACATCGCAACCAATGGTTGGAGACTCTTGGTGACATGGCTCAGAATCGATCACAATGGCGTCTGTGTATACTCTCTCTGTCTTCCCTTAAACTGTGAGATTAAAATCGCTTCATATCTTTTTTCTACGAACTAATTCTTTCTTCCTGTACTATATCCTTATATGCAATCTTTCTTTTATATATCACCACCTCTGAATTAACAACTTTTATGAATTCGGTGTTCATCTTGTTGTGTTAATGAGTGAGGTATGGCAACTTGAACCGATGCATATATGTGCCTGATCTTACGTTGTAGCTGGCTGACTGACTGACTGATTAATTGCAAACAATTAGCATTAATTATATCAGGACAGAATCGGATAAAAGTAGGGACAAAAACTTACCGACTATATTTATTACGAACTCTTTGACTTGATGAAATATTCCAATCATCACAATTTTCATATTCTGAAACAAGTCGATTTGTATGTTCTCGAAATGGATGAACTTGATCATTATTATGATTAATATTACTATTATTTCGATCGGAAAATGAAGAGTTATCTGATGGTAAAAATCCATCTACATGACTAGTTTCTCTATCGAAATTATGCATTGGATGTGAATCATAAATATGATGTTTACGTGAACCATGACAGACATTGGAATCATGAAAAGTAACATCTAAGGACTGATAAAACAAATTATTCATAAAAATAGTGTAAACATAAATAACAAGTTACTTATAAGCAAAACGATATGATCATATATGCTGAAAACTTCAACTGGAATCAAACAAAAGATAATTTTTTAAAAAGGTCTAAACTGTCTGCTTAAACTTGAGTTCAGCGGTTCGAAACTCGTAAGGATACCTATGTCACTAGATGTTGTTGAGTAACCAGGAGAAGAAACACGTTCAAGAGTTGCAGTGGAATTCGGAACACAGGCTTCGTCCTATTTGGGACTCATCAGCTAAGTATACCTGAATTCCATAGTTGATTTTCACTCCGGGACTCAAGCTCAGTACCATTTACATCAAACGCTGTCGAGTTATCTACTTAGCTACTAAGTCCAGGTAGCCACTGGGTTGCGCAACGAGGTGAAGTTCAATTCATTTCTATTGGTTGCTTCAATTTTCCCATTGATGTTCAGGAATGCAACTGTTCAACTCTTGAGTGCAGGTACATCCAACTGACGAGTCCCAAATAAAGCAAATGGGCATCCTGAATATCACTGCTAACTATCATCTGTCTGTGCTTATAGTGCTTGTGACTTAATGGTAATATCAAGGTAATGCGTGTAGGATGTACATTTGCCTATAAGAGACTGATTAATTTCAGTCCTAAACATCAATGAGAAGATCCAAACAAGCAATACAAAAGGTCTTAATGACAAAGTTTAATATTCTGAAGTATTAAATTAAGTAGCAAAACACCTTAATATATACAAAGCAGCGGAGCAACACTAGATTTTATCTAGGGGGAGTTAGAGACCAAATTATGTTCATATGCTATTCGCTCCTCAAGAATTCTGAAGTTTATATTCGCGTATTATTTGCAAGCAGGGGTTCTCAACTCTCCCAGTTAATCTATTCGCATACACCAACCCCGATGAAATGCTGAGTCTGCTTTTGTGGTTTTTTACAACTCAGAGGAACGCTGAGATGTGATGAAATTACGAATACAACTGAGAACTTCGATAATGCTTAAAAATTCCATAGTAATATTATGTAACAACACATTGCACAGAGGCAGCCAATCAACCATACCAGGACAGTGTACATAAACTTTTGAAATTAAATTCAAGGTGGCCAATTTAGTGGGTTAAGATAAATTGCTTTTGACATGATATTTGTAGCTGAATCCTTGATAAGCGGACAGAAAGACATTACCAGTCGATCATACATAATAATCACAATTTAACTTACTTTGGAGTCTAAATGTTTTGCACTAGCTCTATTTGCAATTTTATTCTTTTTTGTTAAGTGAAGTTTTCTATCACATGACTGTGGTAGAATTCCAGGATCGTCTTCAGCATCTGATAAACATGGAGGTGTTGTAGGTCGTATTAATCTGTTTGAATCATTTCGAATACATGTGTCTGTTTTTAGCTTAACTGAACTAACTAAACCACCACGGTTATCTGTAGGCTAAAAAAGTAAGAGACAAAAAAGACAAGACAATACAGTTGAATGGAACATTGGGGACCGTCTGATTGTTTGATGTTAGGCAAATGAGGTAAATCGATTGGAAGACCCTTTATTAGTCTGCACGAACAGTGACTTGTTTAAAATACCCAATGTATTGCAATTATTTGTTAACTAGCATAAAATCTAGAGCCACAGGGGGATTACACAGACTGTTATCAATTAACCAACGTTATTGTGAAAATACTGGGCCATTTATGTTAAGGCGATTTTAGAAAAAAAACAGTCGAATTATTAAAAAGATAAGAACGCCTACTTAAAGAAGTATGTGAAATACATACTGTTGTTAACTACTTTTCTTTGACTTACGTGTAACGGAACAGAGGGAAAAACAAGTTGACCAAAGAAATGTTGTTTTCAAATTAACTCTGCATCATGTCTCCGCATCAATATTGGTTGTAACATGTATTATGTATGCTTAACCAGAGCCTACCTTGACGCGTGATTTTTGCCGGTAAACGTAAATAACAGCCTGCAAAGTCAATGACTAGTAAAATAAGTCAATAAGTGTAGGCTAGGTGGCTGTGTTCCATCCAATAACCACGATCAGTGGTTAGAGACCCTAGGTGGTGGTATGTGGCAATTGAATCCACTTGTTATCTTCCATTGGATCGTGAATTTGAAAATTACCTTATGTTTTTCTGTTCCACGAATTCATTCTTTCTGAATCATACTGTTGAAGATTACTATTCGCTAATACCAAACATTTTAAGAACTAATTATTTGGGAAAGCCATCACTCATTTTTGAGTAATCCAAATTAAAAAGAAGAATCTATCATATGATTTATCAACCGGCGGCCTGCTTGAATATCTGGGCTACCTGTTCCTCCGATCTAGATATTTCATCAAGTTATCTGTTTTGTTGTTTGGTTTAGCACATCACTATGTCTATTGTGCGCACAACCTATTCAGGCGCGTTTATGAAAAGTTTACAACCTTTCGCTGTACGGGATACAAAAAGGTACAATCAGCGACATCATGGTGGCTGGCAATATGCATTGAAACAAATGAACAGTAATCAAATATGGATTACCGAACTTCTAACATCTAACTGGTCATCATTCAAAATTTATCGTCACAATCGATCAAGGTATAAGAAAAGGAAACTTGTTGAAATACTTTATGCTGAGAATTCTATGTTGTACCAAAAATATAATGTTGAATAAAGCTTCTAATAATAATAATAATAATAATAATAATAATAATAATAATAATAATAATAATAATAATAATAATAATAATAATAAACTAGTCTTACAACTAACTGTTATGACTGATGTGACTGCAGGTCTTGATAAGCAGCGTATTTATTGATCGATCGCAGTACAGTGACACGGAAAACACGTACGGACGGCCTAGAGTCTCTATTGGTCCCGCTTCCCTGTCTAGCCCAGTCAGTTGAGTCCAGAACACAAGTCACAGCCTCGGAGATATGAATCATTATATTTCAAACATACTTTGTTTATATACCAATCAAGCACACCACATCGTACCATAAAATAGAAAACAACATTTTGTACAATATACAACAAGTGAACAGATATCGACAAATAGAAAATACCCATTTAAAGTCCAAGGACACTATTGGACTTAACATGATAATTATTGGTCTATTCCTGCGCATCCACAACACCTCCCCTTTTTTTTGAAGATCCGGAGTTGATATCCGGATTTTGAAATTTTCTGGGTTCATCCTCCCCCACGAAATAATGTTGGGTCCTCATATTCCCAAGTTAGAATTAATTTGACTTTATTTAACACATAATTGTCAGATTGAACAGGGGAGTCACTGAAAGTGATTAAATAGTGGGGAACAATGTCGCTTGATATGAGGTCACCAACGTTTGATTCTTCTGGAACATTGTCACGGGATTTGTTGAAAATCTCATTTGTAAACAGTTGATCACTGCGATAATCAACATCTATCAAAATTGTATTAGATTTCTGATCATCATTTAATGCATTTAACACATTTTCTGGTACAAAAAGATCTAGATAATAAGATTCGTCAGAATCTCCTGTTGTTGAATGATGAGGACCATTTGAAACAGCTGGATTCAGTGTACCGCACGATTTGTTCCCTGTTCCGTTGTGGGCGGGTACTGCAATTAATTTATGAGCATTTAATAAGAGATCCTCCTGTGAGCTGGGTACATCACTGTCTGTACACGTTTCAGGAACAGTGGGATTTGAACCCACGACAGGGAACGTTTCGGAATTTGACATTTCTGGACAACTGGGCGGACCATGAATAACTGTCTCGTTTACATCACTGGTCGTCCGGGATTCACAGAGGCTTTTATAAACAGCTTCATATGTTCTGCAGTTGTTTTCCAGCTCAGTCTGCAGATGAGAAATGAATTTACCAACTTCTGTTGCACCTCCGAAACATGGAACATTTACCAACAGTGTGCGTAAATTTTCTAAAAAATTTAACTGGCTATTTTTGAAGCACTGCTGTTGTTGCTCAAGTAGAAGCTGTAATCGATCGGAAAAGGTAGTCATTTTTTTTTCAGCACCTGCAATGAAAATTAACTGTAGGAATAATGACCAATGTTGCTCAAGGACGCTGGTGACAATCTGGATGCTGATTGGTCGAAACAATTAACCTGAATCTCGTCCAATTACAAGGTTCAAAATTTTTCTCCACCCCGTCGCCAATTGTTATGACTGATGTGACTGCAGGTCTTGATAAGCAGCGTATTTATTGATCGATCGCAGTACAGTGACACGGAAAACACGTACGGACGGCCTAGAGTCTCTATTGGTCCCGCTTCCCTGTCTAGCCCAGTCAGTTGAGTCCAGAACACAAGTCACAGCCTCGGAGATATGAATCATTATATTTCAAACATACTTTGTTTATATACCAATCAAGCACACCACATCGTACCATAAAATAGAAAACAACATTTTGTACAATATACAACAAGTGAACAGATATCGACAAATAGAAAATACCCATTTAAAGTCCAAGGACACTATTGGACTTAACATGATAATTATTGGTCTATTCCTGCGCATCCACAACAGTAACACACTATCCAATGATGGAATTTTCTCCACCACATACGCAACAATATGAATTAAAATCTAGGGTAGGGAAAACCTTTCACCTTGTTAATCATTTGCCCTCAAATGCCCTGGAACGGCCGAAAGTGGGGAGAGTCAGCTCTCCCTCTAGAAATACTCTCACATAGCAACGTGCATACAACCACTGCCAGGGATGTCCTACTCACTGCCTTCTTGCGGCATCACTGTTGCTTACGAAATTGAGAGGATGAAAAGCGAATGCTCGGCGCTTTAACCGGGTTGGTGGACGCGGAGGATCCATCTAAGGGAATCGGAAAGCCTTGATTCCACGCCAATGGTGCACATGGGCTCCATGATCCTAAGGGAACAAATGGCGTGTGAACCTAGTGTTGGTCACCGGTTACAATGGGACTGAATCTCCTGACATTGTTCCACTACCTTGTGGATTAGACATTTAGGTCAAAGGCTCTGGGTATGGCCCCCTAAGAAAACTACCTGCTTCGGCTTGAGCACCCGGGCAGTATCCCAGCCCCTACACAAATCGGATGATTTATGTGGCGCATATCTAATTGATGCCACCTTGTACTAATGTTTATGTGTTTAAATAACTAAATGTTAATCATTTAATTAAAATGGTAATTTCTAATTCAATCTTATTCCTGATCAATTCATTTATAAAATCTATTTAGAATTATTTTCAATCAAATTGCTCTAAAAATACCAAAATATTTTATGAAATTGGACAATAAACAAATAAACTTAATAAATCATTTAAAACACAACAACAACAACGAACCCGAATTAGTTTTGTATCATCTTCCAATTGACCAGCTGTTACACCATTGATAGATCGAATAATAGTATTTGATTGTTGTTGCTGATATCTTGAGTGTTGTTGATGGTGATGACGTTCAGCTCGTGCTTGATTTAGTTGTTTTTGTAATACACGAGTATGCGCCAATGTATCAACCATTGATTGTATTCGTGCCAACAAATTTGGATCAATCACACTGAGAGGTGAACAAGAAGAAAAAACGGAAAATAGAGTAAAATCATAGTAATTGCAGGATAAAGAGAACAGTAACTGTGAGAATGTGATACAATGACTTCTTTAAATGCAAAGTTTTATCAATATTTTGGACGTAATGAACATCCCATTCACTTACGCATAAACGAACAAAGACTAACACTGAAACGATGTGATGTGATACCAGTAAATCCAGACAATTAAGGATATGAATTCGACTGAATAAACTCGGAATTTCGAACCAGGTAAACTCCAAGATTACCAGGGGATTTCTAAAATAATGTCATTCAGGTCAATCGCAAAATAAATCGATACAGTCTTAACCTATGAACCCATAAGGAAGAGATCAACTAGTCACAAGACTACAGCTAAACTAACAAAACCTACGAAAACAACCACTCACAAACGTGACCACTGGAATAAACTGATAGAACACTTGTGAAATATCCAAAAAGCTTAACGCAACATAAGTAGGCGCTGAAGATTTTGAAAAGAAGGATAATCAAAGCTTCCCAATGAAACTATCTAGCTTAAAGAACACAACACAAAAAACCAAACACTTTGTAGCATTTCATAAGGACATAAACAGGTTATACATAATAAGTGAGTAAAACAGATTGATTCTGGGGAAGCAATTAATACACAACGTAAAGTTTTCTCATGTTCAAAGTAACAGGACAGCACAAAAATGTGATCAGAGAGAAAGTTTATTTGTTCTCGTGTGTGTGTGTGTGTATGTAAAAGAAATCCGACTAAACTACACTGTCACAAACAGTTCAGACGGTAAAATTGAAGTGATCAGCTTAAGTGAATATTACTTCATCGAAAATTGAAAAATCTTTAGCATATTCTATGATTTCCCTACATTTAACTAGTAATGTTATCTAAAACACAAAACATTTCAATACACAACAGGGGACCCAGCAAAAAAAACTACTCTCCATATAAATTAGAATGATAACATTGTTAAAAGAAAGGAAAAAAGGTAGTGATCATTTAACTAATAAATGAAATGAATAACCAAAGTATCCATTCAAAGGTACACTTCCACTACGAACATAATCAAGAAGTTCCATTTCACTTTTAAGTATGAAAAATGAACACAGTCTACCCAATAAATGTGCCAACAAAGTTCATAAATACATTAGTTCATAAAATTTAAGGTAATTCAACCCTATTTCTTTTAAAATACTCTCAATTTACGGGAATACATTTGCCTTAACTCTAAACCTTGTGTTCAAAACATCACCAGAATTCTTACAAAAATAAAGCAGGCTGTTTAGCTGACTTGTTTAATATTTTATATCATCTCTATATCATTCTAGTGCTAATGTGCAAAGGAGAACTCCCTAAATTCACTTCATCAATAATGATTTGAAGAGTAAATTAACGGTCGGAACGTACAGTAGGCCATATAAGTCCTATGTTTTCATCAATACAGGAGGTTGATAGTTGTTCTGATCTGATCGACACAATGTACACATGACCTTTTAGTAGACTAACGTCGTAGAGGGACAAAGATGAAGAAGAAGATTAGCGTAGCTTACTCTAGATTCCAATATATGTAGATTGACCTCATTTGGCTAAAGTTAAGAACTAAGCATGGGACTAGCCAATACTTAGTAGTCGATTACTACAAATTAATACAACTTTTAAAAACATTGACTATGTGGTACACTTTATAACCAGCTTAAATTGATGTAAATTACTTAGGACGACGAGGACAGATGCTAATAAAACCACCAAAAAAATATTAATGGTAAAGAAAACACAGTCGTAGTTACGACTGACGTATCAAACTACTAATGATAATGGACTGTGTAATTTCATCGGTTTTGAAGTGAACTTTCTAGTTATCACCAAAAAATAATAGCTTGATTGATTTGCTTCAAAAGTAGTCAGCAATATGCGTATCCATGTTTCCAATAATCCTTTTGTTAATAAGCTATATCGTGATTTGATTAACATAGAATTAATTGATTGGTAGATCTGTCCTACATTAGTATGACTAACGATTATTGATTGACCTGAATGCCAGACTTTTAGGAAATTTCTAGTATCTGAAGAACCTCTTTAGTTCACAACTTTTTGTATTTTTCCAGACAAATTAGCGTTTCTTACTTGTCGAAACCCATAGGTGGAAGAGGGTATCAATAAGTCAATCATAACCAACGCAGAGTCTGGCACAAACATGCATTTGCCTAAGTTGCTGTATCACACGTTAGCACGATGACAAAATTAACAAGATGAATGGCAAAATGAGTCCAAAAAATGCAGTAACTATGATAATGAAAAAGACTAGACGTTGAGGAAAAGGTCTGAGAAGAAATGAAAATGTATGTATGAAGGGATACTAAGAATTAAGATCTAAAGGGAGGAAAAAAGGGTCAATGCATTTCAGTCAGTGACAGATTCTGACAAATGTCATAAAATGTATCCAGACACTGACCTCGGTTATCCCATGGGTTAAAACCACGTGTTCTGAATTCCCCACCATGACCTGGTTAGATAGTTAATGAGCTCATGGACCGATGTTGCCATTTATTGGCTTGGCTGTTCCTACTTTTCTTCGAACTTACTAATATACCAACATCATCCGTCAATATAGGTGATGGCTAAGCGTAAAAGTCGTGATAGGTAATGGGCATGAATTCAAAGCTACGACTTGTAATTGACAGTTTAAGATTTAAATCACAAAGCCAACAACTAAAAAACACTATTAAGTGTAGTTGAACTTGGAGTTAAAACCAAAGGTCAACTGAGTGACAGATTTTTGCTCAATTAGAATGAAGCTATTCTTTTATTAAGTAGAGAATCCAGTGCCATATATGTATAACTTGATTATATCAAAGAACAAATAAAAACAGCCTACTTTAAATCTTCATTGGCTTGTTCATTAGCAAGTTGAACTGTTGCTGCTTCTGCTCGTCTAGTTAGTTCTGACATAAGAATATGAATTTGTGTCAGCACCTCCGGATCAATTGTTTGTTCTTGATTAAGTAATGCTGATTGTTCAGCAATCTTTTTTTGTAAAGCCTATAAAAAAGGTTCAGAGAAAATTTAAGCCATGGAATCATAAGTATAGCATTACTCTGCCCATGTTTCTAAAAAAACGAATTAAGTTTGAACTATTGTACTCGTTCACTAAACAGTGGAGAAATGAATATACGGATAAGTTATGAAAGATTGGTAAGAAATCAGTATTTTAATTTTCTTTAAAACCAGAAGGAAAATATCCTTCTATGATCTTTGTTAAGTAGTCGACATTGTAGGAAAATTAGACACTTAGGATTATTCATTCAGCAAACAATTACATGCAACGTGGAATCTGGAACATATGTACATCGGTTCAAATTGTTACGTCATATAATTCATCAAAAAAACGAGGTCTGATAGTCAAAGAACTGACATACTAATTTTATGAACTTTTACGTCGGAAATTTTTCAAAATCTAGGGTGTGATACAAAGCCCAGCACAAGTTAATAGTTTTTATTTATATTGAGACTTAATAATCCCATAAATTTCCCTTATCTTGAGATCGAATTCGAGTATATGGACAAAAGTTTGAACTTTAAAGTTAGTCTTCTATTATCCTGAAATCGGACAACCGGTATTAATATAACTAATCGATAACTGGGTGCTAATTGTCTGAAAACGGCTATCCAAGCCGCTTCATACGGAAGAATATGGAAAAAGAAATCGAGACAAGGAATCTGATAATTTAGTCCGAAAGAGGTACCTTCATATGAACATGTAATTTAAAGGTGACCCAACTTCTGATATAATGAAAACTCAGTTGACGGCAGCGATAAAAAGGACGTTCTATGCAACAAAGCTGTGATAGTGCTCATTAGTAAGAATCTGTTTTCTGTATCCGTAAAGGATAAGCTTTCTCGTCTGGTCGCCTCCATGTGCATCTAAAAGTTCACCTGCTCAAGTGGAGCAAGGTATATAAGTCGTAGCCAGAGTCTGCTTTCAACTCGGATACGAGAATATGTTGCAGTGTGGTTCTACAAGCGCAAGAGGGAGTTAGAAGTCCAGTTCTTGAACATCCAATTGACTCTAATCACTCTACCGACCCACAGGTTGACTTTAAGGTTGATGAATGCAAAGAATGTGATCCAAAAGGACTGAGTGAATAGAAGATTCAAAACAAGATTTATACAAAGACATAATTAATATGTCTGAACAAATGAGACCGATTTCCAGCTCAGTTCCTTAGGGCTTCAAGCTATTTATCATCTTTGGGATGACAGAAAGTCTGCAACTTTTCACGTTACTAAGTTCAATAGATAGTGAACTGGACTTTATTCTTCATTTTATTTACTCCTGTAATAACCAACATTCAGTATCTTAATTAACCTCTAACTGGATGTTGAACAGTAACTCCCAATGTATCCTGTGTAGTCCCTAGTGTCTGTTCTAAAAGCTTAGTGAGTTGTCCTAATCTCTAGGTTTAGCAAACCAACACTTTTCAGACTTAAATTTTAGATGACTCCTTTGATGTCGGTCAACCCACAATTTATTTTACTCCTATAAAATGTGAAGACCATTGACTTACTTGTTTTTAATTTGACTATTCACCCTAGTGTACGTGACAACAGCCTGATTCCGTTCAAGTTTGTAGATTTTTTTCAAAAAGACGAGATACGTGATGTTAGGCTTGCTAATTTTGTTTGTTTAGCACAGAAAGCTGAATAAAACTAGATGTTTTTACTACCACACTCTGACAATTCTAATTACCCTACCCGCCATCCTAATCTCAAGACAGCTATGTACACGGAATAGCACCTGGCACAAATCTTGGAGTTACCACAAACCCCATAGAAAGAAATGGGGGAAACGAAGAACAAATAGAAACAGTGAGACTAACAGTGGGGAGTTGGGAACATAATAGAGGCAGAACAAACGAGTGAATACAACGAAGTGAATTCATCTAATAAAACGTTGTTAAGACAAAGATTGTGTATGGGATTTATCTGAATCAGTGACAAATTTCTAAATAAAGAATAAATATGAATCCGAAACTCAGCCCTACTTTAAGTATTATAAGGATTGGGATATAAAGGGTGGTTGTGACTTGTTAGAACTGTAGTTCATGATCAATACTTCTAAATTTCAGCCACTGGGTTATAGGTTCGAACCTCACGCTGCTTACTTCAGTTTAAGCAACCGAGCAATATCACCAACCCTCATATATGGTATAGCTCAAAGTCAAGTACGTGAACCTCTACTCAATAAATTGACGAAAATCTGAGGCCCGGAACGTGATTTTTTAGATAATCAGTATACTGCAACCCTCATACGCAAAGTCTGACGTGTTGATGCTAGAAGCACGAGCCGCTCAAATTAAGGAAAGGGACCTGTGGAAACATTAGTAAAATATTGTGACAAACTTAATACTGGAAACTAATGCTGTCATCTTTTTATGTAAAGTTGAACTTCATTCGCGAAAACCCTTAAGATTCAAGTTTACTACATGCATCAACCTCGTATAAATTAATGAATTACTGACCACTAAAAATGGCTAAGACCAACGGGATAATTTATACTATAAATCTGGTCAATCTATGCTTTTATCGGAAAACTATTTTGACTGTAAGTGCACTGCACGTACCCACGTTATTTCAAACGATTTAGAGAGATATAACGACATGAAATATGGAAATCGTTCAGTTTCTTCGAAATGTCACAATAAAACTCACTTGTAGTTGAAGTAGTTGAACCTTAGCGCTTGTGTTCCTTTGGGCGCAATCACTAGCGATCTCAGAAGCAGATACTGCATTATCGTCTCTAGATACACAGTTGTCTACAGTTGGGGGTATTTCTGTGGCTGTGAAGGGACTGAAGATTCAATGATTATTTGCTTCGTAGAGGAATTGTTTAGTGATTCAATGACGACCTCCTTAGCTAAAACAAAATAATTAATGAACATAAAGACTTACCTTTTCCAACAACCTGTGGATTTTTGGGATCCGATATAACACTGCACAGTGCCTTTATAACTTCATCTGGAAAGACAGAACTTTTTTGCCACAAATACAACATGCGCATTAGCATTGGCTTATCTTTCTCATTGCAATTCATAAGGGAAATAAATACAGGCACTAGGTTACGAAGGAATCTGGGTCCATAAACATCCTTCTCGCGATAAAAGTACTGAGATTGTCTAACAATGGCATCGATTACATACAATCCAGGGACTTTATATTCCGGTGAACATTTCGCTATAAACTTCTCAACAATCTGTACCACATGTTTATAATATTTTAAAGCCTTTATAGCGGCCCTTGTTATCGAAGCCATTTTGGCTCTAGAAACCGGCAGCTGTGAATCTGTTAATGATTTTAACTAAACAAGGTAAATCGTATGAATTACAACTAACCTCGGTGTTGAAGGCCGCAACCAGTCCATTTCCTAACATAAGGTTTAGATTTTATGTCAGCCAGTTGCAAAGAACCTCAGGAGTCCAGTGTACCCTACAGACGAAACAAACCGATACGCGTAAACACGAAAACTTGTATTACGCGCAACGCCTTGCACATAGAATTATACCAATTAACAATACATCTAACACGAGAATACACAAACATATTAAAGTGCTTATGAACTATTAAAGTATAGCAAATTAAACGCATAACGTCAGGTGGTGTTTCTGTCGGCAAGTTTCGATGTTTATTGGCAGTAGGAAACCCTTGAATCCCAACAGAAATCTGTATGTAGAGACATGAGAAATTGTCGGTGGATTGCAACACAATGATTTCCTGAGTGCTTTTGAAAGCATTAAGCAGATAACTCTTGTAACACATATCCTCAACTTCTTACCATCTTCCTGTTACCCTGAGAAAAGCGCCAGTAAGACGGAAAAAATAGATAAGGTCAAGGAAAGTAAGATTTGTAGTGGATAAACGTACTGCGTGAACTCCCTGAGTTTCCGAAAGCGGTTCTGACTTGAAACGTTACGTTTTTGGTTGATAGGTTCATGGGCTTTGAGATTTAGGGGTACGTACGTATTATTGAGGAATCTCAGGGGACATTCCAGGGAACTGGTGCCGGCATTCATGTCCTGGGTTTAACACCAAATCTCTTACCGTGTCATCCATAAAAAGGTCTTCTAAGAGTGCCTTATTCAACAGAGCACGCGTTTGTCAAGATAATATGTTCAGAAATCACAAAATCTTAGATACAACTGCAGAAGCTAGTAATTGGGGGATTAACATAAATGTCATTAGGCAGCAATGCAGCTATATCGCGAAATTCCCCTTGGCACACCGGAGATTTCCTTCTTATGTCCACCGGTAAATTGAGGCAAGGAGAAGAAAGTGCATTGGTAAACAGACCCCTGAAATAAGTAGTACAGGAAGTCTTAGACATTGATGCTGATGTAATTGGTTTTACTGGAGACATCCTAACTGAAAGCGCTTGGTCGCGCATCCGCACCAGATTTCTACTGTTAACGCGTTCTACACATCCCTTATAGCAACTAGACAGCTTGATCAAACACCTCGATATAATGACTATCTTCCAAATATACCTTCGAACTACATCATTCTTGACTTTTGGTTTGACTGGGTTTGGGTTCCTAAAATTATAAAGGTGTCATGGACAAAAGTGTTGTTAGGCTTCAAATACCCGTGACATCCTCAAAGCAACGGGTAATTTTAGGCATGAGAAGACCAGAAGATATAATAACCAGTATCCTAAAAACTGAGGGTGGGATAGCAGATTATAAATAATGGCTTCTGATAAACTTCAGAAGTTCAGTGACGCGCAGCAACTTCCTAAAAAAACGTGAAATTATTCTGAAAATATCAATGGTATGCTACTGAGATTTATTCGAAATTATACCATACATTTTCCGTCTATATCTAGGCAATAACACTACTTAGAATACACTACCCTATTAATAGAGGCCATGGACTCAATAAAACTGAGTGCTAAAATCATTCATCGCCAGAACGTAAACCATCCAGCAACAAATCTGTCGTATAACAATTATGGCCCATCATTAGTGTCGTTTAATGAGCGTCATGGACGAACATCCGGAAGCTATGGAATGCTTGAATGTATGGGTAACAACATATGGCAGAATAAATATGGAAAACTGTAATGACTTGAGAGGTTTATATATATCATGTGTTAAATTCCCCAATCAGAATTTTACTACTAATTTTCTACCCCACGTATTGTATCTTAATCATACTGTTCAAACAGCTAACAACTATCTCAAGCACTCATTAACTTATTTAAATGAATTGTGAAACCGAATGACATACCAAGTAAGAAATTAAACTCCAAGCACAGCCATACATGTAGCTTAGGGCGAAGAGAACAATACATGATTATTAAGCAGTAATTGAAGAATAATAAAGCGTATTACAGCAGTTTTTGACCTAGTATATGTTAGCAATAAAGAGAATATGGTATTACAATGCTACAACTGCCCACTAGTCATGAAAAAAACACAAATAATAAATCAAAAAGTAGTTCCAAAAGTTCGAGCTTTCCTTTACTCGTCCTGTTGTAACAGAGACCACCAAGTCTAGATTGTCTACTCCCGAATTATCGGCTTATAATCGAAAAGCTCATTTTTAAACTAACTTGGATAGGAATAATCGTGTTATGACCATGTTTAACATAGTTGCTGCCAAGACACCTTCATGGAATAGGAACATTTCTGCTCCTGTCAAATTAGGGTCGACAGCGCGGCTATAAAGTTGTGCTATCGGAACTCCCTAACGCGCAAACTTCGTAATCTACAGTCCATGAAAGCAGCAAAGTTAGACATTTATATGCCTCTACAATGAATAAACCAATCAAGAGATGATCAAAGGTGAAGTAGCGTAGCGACCACCCATTTCATTCCAAAAGGAGTCTGACATAAGTGGAGAATTTCTCTATGGCAAGTAAACACTAGTATTTTCCTGACTTCCAAGAGGAGTGAAGAACACGACATCTATCGGGACAGTGGAATAGCACTGAACCTTCGCAAAATTATCATTGGAACGAAGTGTATATCTGCATTAAAAGACTGATTCTTGGACTCTGATCGGCTGATAGCAAGATAAAATTCAGTGAACATACAGGCTACATGACTTGGCTATACAAGAAAGCCCATAACATATAAATCTTTCATCTTAATATAGAGTACTTTTCCGGCATGACTAACTTGTTTTCAAAAGTACTGAATAACAGGACAGACTATCAACGGATTTCTTCGTGACATTATATAAATCAAACAGTCACGCTGTGGCCGGTAAACAGTTTTGGTCTATGACTGCAGATTTAGTAGCTTGAATGAGCTCACTAGTAAATGTCACAATCCAAGAATTTCCAATCAACCGTCCCGGACCCACCTATCCAGCTGATGCTAATTACTTGATCTTGATATCTGTCTACAATTCATGGCGACATGTGTCCTTCAATGTGCCTCTTTTCCCTCTGCAATGAAAATTTCAAGTTAGAATTTGCCCTGTGATACGGTTTAATGGTTTCTGTAAAGTGTGTCATATCCACCTCCATCATCTTTCCCAGTCTACTCTTCGTTTGGAAGCCGGTCTGTGTGGCACAGACTTTACTGTTCTTTGTATTTTGCACATTTTATATAATCTGTCATGTCCTTAAGTTAATACCCACTAAGTTAGACAGAGAGTCTGTGTTTTGATATGATTTAATGCGAGTCAATCATAAACGCTTTGTACGCTACACAAACGAACGCATTTTGGTCTTATCAATAAAATTCCGTTCGTTAGGACTATGATCAAGTCAAACACCAGAATTTCGGTCGTTACACTGTCCCTGCTTACACACAAGTTTGTACATTTTTAAAATAACTAACCCCCCGAGGTAAGCTGCCTGTGGGACAAATCTTTAATTGGTCCGCAATGATTATTGTATACCTATTCGCAAGTACACATGCTTGTAAAAGTGACTACGTAAGGCTGAATGCGCGTTTGTCGCCCTACACTCTTATTTCCCAGCCGCACGTGAACATTTGTTGTCCGAAGCTTTCAGTAGTTTCCTGTCTCAGACATACATATTCGCTCACCAAACAATATTAATCAATTCTCCTGCTTAAATATCTGATATACCTGTTTTGTTATCTTGATAGTTCAACAAGTTATTTGTTCTCTTGTTTAATCAAACACATCATTATGCCTGTTAGTCGCATAACCTATTCATGTGCGTTTGTGAGGCATTTACATTTCCCTGCACAAGTTACAAAAGGGCACAATCAGAGACACCTTATCTGCTGACATGCATCCAAAAGAATAATTATTAATCAGGTGTCGATTAACTCAGCCTGGAGTCCCTCCAAGGGCTACTGCCGATCCCAAGCCCGGATAAAGGAGGAGGGTTGGGCATGGGGTTAGCGTCCCCATCCCGTAGAAAACTAACTCGCTAAAAAACGCTAACCAGAAAAAATTATTCAAACCTTTTAAACTCTGACTCGGTGGTCAGAAGGTCTTCATTTAGAAGAATTTTAACGCCTCATGATGAAAGCCGAATTTCTTCGGAAGTTACGAAGCCGATGCCTCTTCTGACAACCAGAGTAACCATTTATTTAGGTACATGGAAGGTTCGTACAATGTGGGACACCGGGAGAGCCTTCAAAATTGCTGCAGAAATGAGAGGATACAACCTAGAGGTACTTGGGATCAGTGAAACACATTGGACGCAAGTTGGACAACAAAGACTAACTTCAGGAGAGCTTCTTTTATACTCTGGCCATGAAGAAGAAAATTCTTCACATACACAAGGAGTTGCATTGATGCTGTCCAAACAAGCGCAAAATGCACTTATGGGATGGGAATCTCATGGACCAAGGATCATCAAAGCGTCGTTTAAAACAAAGAAAGAGGGCATTTCAATGAACGTCATCCAATGCTATGCGCCTACCAACGACTACAATGAAGACGCTAAAGATCAATTCTACAATAGGCTGCAGTCAATCATCGAGAAGTGCCCAACAAAGGACCTGACCATTCTGATGGGAGATTTCAATGCCAAGGTTGGAACGGACAACACTGGATATGAAGACATCATGGGACGACACGGACTGGGAGAAAGGAACGAAAATGGTGAGAGATTTGCAAACTTGTGTGTCTTCAATAAAGTGGTCATAGGCGGCACCATATTTCCACATAAAGGCATACACAAAGCCACATGGATTTCAAATGATCACACCACACAGAACCAAATCGACCATATTTGCATCAACAAAACGTTCAGGAGGACTATAGAGGACGTGAGAAACAAGAGAGGAGCTGATATAGCATCAGATCATCACTTACTGGTCGCCAAGATGAAATTGAAACTCAAGAAGCACTGGACAACGGGGCGGACAATATCACAAAAGTTCAATACGGCCTTTCTTCAGGATACTAACAAACTCAACAAATTCAAGATAGTCCTCAGCAACAA